AGAATTGCGGGATGTAAAGTCAGAGTTCACTGCAAGGAAAAAGTCAGAATTCTGAGTTTATATAATGCAATTCTATGTTTATATCTTGCAATTCTGACTTTTAAATGACGAGATATAAACACAGATTTGCATGATAGCCTACGTGAAAAAATGTGTGCAAAAAGTGAGCGAAAAATTCTCAGTTGCCTTTTTTTGGCGGAAACGGGTTTGCATACTATAGCCATTTTATCATCTTATCAAACTTCATATTTAGTTTTTGTTAATTATATGCACGTGTATGCATATATATTTACCTTAAGGTGTGCAATATGTAAAATGTCTTTAGTTATTGAAAAGGAACAGTATTCAGGTTCAGAATTCTCTTCTCTTTCTAAATAGCACGTCCAGCCCTCTGCTTTACAAGATTCTAATTTCTGCCTTGTTTGGAGTCATTTTACCCATTTTCATTTGATGTCTGCTCGATCTCATAATTCTGTTGCAGTTTGGTTGTTGTGTGTTCTCCCTCACCCCATTCTCATTTCATGACTCCATTATGTTCTGTTTGTTTCGCTTTAGTTTCCCTGATGGACTGATGATCTAGACAGAAGCAGTTTGGTTTGGGACAGGGAGGTTTACTCGCTCACAGACAGAAAGAAAGAAAGAAAGAGGCTTCTGGAACGGAGCGAGATTAGTGTAAGTCTACCTCTCCAACATTCATTTCTGTATTATTAATGAAAAAACATCTTTCACATTTCACCACCTCTAACAACTTGTTTTACTTTGCGCTCTGGAAGTGCTGGAAAGTGAGAAGAAATTTGGCGTATCGCATACATGCATGCATAATGTTCCCATTCATTTTCCCATGGTCTCTCTCCATATGTTTGTTGGATGATATGAAACAGTGGAAATCCTTTTTTTCATAGTATTCCCCAGAAAGGATTTAGCGGGAAAACCCCAGGATTTCACAGGCGTGCGAATCTTTCATCCGAGGTGTCACACTTCTAGATAGAAAGCAAAGTAATTCTGTTTGTTTGTATTTAGACTCTGGAAAAGATCATTGCTTTATATGGATCTATGTGTTGGCGGGCTTATTTTCATTCATAGTTTTGTTGCCTGTATGATGGAGACTGGGGAGATGGGAGATCGGTAGGCTGCATTAATACGGCACATCTGTATTATCTCCTTTCTAGAGCTCTTGCGGTTTCACTGTTTTATCAGTGTTTTATTACTATTTATTAGCACTGTTTTATTTTTTTATTATAATGGCTTCATCTTACGTTCTTAATCGCAAATGTTCTTTTTTGTTTTTCTGAAAGAAATTAATGCTTTTAATCATGCATTAAATTGATCAAAAGTGACAGTAAATAAATGTATAATGTTAGAAAACATTAAAATATTTCTATTTTTTTAAAAATCCTCAAAAATCGCTGTCTCCATACTTTTTATTCAGCAAGGATGTATTAAATTAATCAAAAGTGACAGCAAATACATTTATAATGTTGGAAAAAATTAAAATATTTCTACTTCGTATAAAAACTGTTCAAAAAATCCTCAAAAATGTTACTGTTTTCAACATTGATAATAATAAGAAATATTTCTTGAGCAGCAAATCAAATCAGCATATTAGAATGATTTCTGAAGGATCATGTGACACTGAAGACTGGAGTAATGATGCTGAAAATTCAGCTTTGCATCACAGCAATAAATTACAGTTTAGAATATGTGACCCTGGACCACAAAACCAGTCATAAGGGTCAATTTTTCAAAATTGATATTTATACATCATCTGAACGCTGGATAAATAAGCTTTCCATTGATGTTGTATGGTTTGTTAGGATCGGACAATATTTGGCTGAGATACAACTATTTGAATATCTGGAATCTGAGGGTGCAAAAAAATCCAAATATTGAGAAAATCGCCTTTAAAGTTGTCCAAATGAAGTTCTTAGCAATGCATATTACTAATCAAAAATGAAGTTTTGATATATTTACAGCAGGAAATGTACAAAATATCTTCATGGAACGTGATCTTTACTTAATATCCTAATGATTTTTGGCATAAAAGAAAAATCGATAATTTTGACCCATACAATGTATTTTTGGCTATTGCTACAAATATACCCCAGCGACTTAAGACTGGTTTTGTGTTCCAGGGTCACATATATTCCGATAGAAATCAGTTATTTGAATTTGTAAAATATTTCACAAAATTACTGTATTTTTATCAAATAAATGCAACCTTGGTGTGCATAAGAGACTTCTTTTAAAATGTTGCTACTAAAACCTTTAACTGTATGTCACAGTGCATCCTATGAATTTGTGGCTAAGTTTATCAGCTTTCATACAGAGTGATTTTAGTACATGCACTCCATGCTTTTAAGGCTGTATTGATTAACACGGGAAACAGCTTGGATGACATGAAACCCAACTTTACTGTAACCTGCCCCCATTCCCATCCCATCCGGGTCGATATCAGTGGCACAGCTGTGTACGGTGACTCATTCAGCTGGAAACATAAAGCAAATAAAGGCCATTCACTGAATGACTTCCTGTGGTACTATTAGAGAGATTTGAGATATAACTCTTTCTGTCTGGCGTTAGACTCATGCCTGAAGCCTGCTGGATGGCAGAGGCTTTAATATCCCGGTTCAGGCAGTGCAGTATCCATTGGCTATATATCAACACAAAGAGGTTGTCTGTTTGTTTGCATACAGTCAATATTGGCCATTAATCATTATAGTGCAGAAACGTCCCACAGTGACTGTAAATAAATGCAGTGTTAATATGTAAACTGTGAAATCGCTGAGATGCATATGCGATATACTGTGATATCTCACTCCGATTGTCTGTTTTCACAGCTTTACACTCCAGACTAGAGTATATGAGAGTTTTTATATCAAATAAAACCATACCTTACTTGAAATAAAATAAATGTTAACTGAAATAAAATATAAAAATGTATACTTATTTCAGATAATTGCCAAAGCAACATTACTTTTATTTAGTTTGTTGAAATAAAAATTATTAAAAAATATATAGACATAATTAAAAAAAATAAACGAAAAGCAAAAATGCGACAAAACAAATTCGAAATATATTTGAAAAAAATCACTGGAGTGGTGATGCCTTCTTGTCACCGGTATATTGTCACAATGTGAATATTGCCCTAAATATTTGTTCTAAAATGAGTGTGTTGTATTTGGGTCCTCCAGGATCAGGATCAAGAAACACTGATGTAATAAGTCTGCCCTTGATGGGAAACTCCTGCTGCCATGTGCTCCAGCTCATTTTATAGACATAAATAATTCACACTCATGTCCAGAGTCGCTGTGCCTCAAGCAACCTGTGAAAATGATGGGCACATGCGAACGATACAATTTATTGCACATCTCTTCTAAATAAATGGTTACATAAATGATTTTTTTATTCATTCATTTATTTATTTTCCAAATACCATATTTTTGAGGACACTCAATGCTTTGTAACTGTGTCCATCTCTGGTAAAATGCATTGATTGGAAGTCAGATGGTGATGCCAAGTGAACAGTTGGACAAATAGATGCTAAATTGCAAGTACTTGGATGCAGCACCACATATAATGTAGATTTATTGGACCTTAACCTGCATTAAATGCTAACCTGCAAATGTACATTAAGGTGACTAGATTTCTGAAAAACCAGAGATTTCCTAGTTCAGTGGCCAAAAATATCATTGAAATCTCACTTGCTATTCTCTATTAATTAAAAACAGGGACAATATATTTTTGCATATTTTGTTTTTTAATTGTTTTGAGTTCCATATACTGATATTATGAATAATAATTATGATGTTTGCAGGTCTAACTGTCCCTAACTGTTTTTAATGCAATTCACCAAAAATCGGGGGAAAAAAAAAAAAAAAGTAAATAGCAAACAGATCTTTACAAAAAATACATTACAAAAATAAAACAAATACAAGTACATAAGATAAATAAAACTGTATTTAACAAATATTTTCAATTTTCTAATTGGATGCAATATTTTCATTTTCACATTGTGACTATTTTAATTACAACTTTACAAATTTTACTTTATGTTTGTGCTTTTGGAAATGGACTTTACTGTCTCTAAAATTAGGCTGATTATTTTACATTTTAGGCTCATTTTGAGCACAAAGTATGTGTTTTCTGCAAATATAATTGCAAGTGTATTATTGACGTTTTTTTAATTTTTAAAAATTATTTATACACATCAAAGAGTACTTTCCCCCACATGGTATAATTAAAGGGGTCATATGATGCGATTTCAATTTTTCCTTTCTCTTTGGAGTGTTACAAGCTCTTGGTGCATAAAGAAGATCTGTAAAGTTGCATAGACTAAAGTCTCAAATCCAAAGAGATATTCTTTATAAAAGTTAAGAGTCAGCCACACCTACCTAAAACGGCTCGTTCTAACACGCCCACACATTTCTACCTCACTATGTGGGAAGATTTGCATAACACCGCCCAAATGTTCACGCAAAGAAAGAGACGCGTTTCAGAAAGGCGGGGCATAGAGGAGAAACAATAATGTACAGTATGTGGAAAATAATGTGTTTTTTTAACCTTAAACCGCATAAACACATTTCATTACACCAAATACTCAAAATAATGTTCTTTTTAGCAACATCATATGACCCCTTTAAGATGTGTTTGGGAATTACTGCTTTGTGACGGTAGAACGTTTGGGAATGTTTAAAATTGTGTGCAAATTCTGCTATTTATAGGTGTCAAACCAGTGTTTCTCTGGTTTCTGTGTAGCACAGGATCACAAAATTGAAATAAAAAAGACAACTGCATATATTTTTCATATACAAAAAAAATTGATTCTGTTTACAAGAATGTTGCTCATTTTGTCCAGAGGTGTGTATGTTTATTAGCAATGCGTCTCATTGAAAAGGGTCATTGGAACATGATGAGATATGAATTCACTGAGCAATTAATGGTGTTGGGTTTTTGTAGCCTCAAAGTTTGTACTTGTAGTAATATTTTGATCTTCTGAACAGGTATATCCGCACAATGTACCTGGGCATCCAGAGTCGACGGCAGAAGGAACACAGTCGGCGCTTCTACTGGGCGATGATGTACGAGTATGCTGACGTCAACATGCTCCGGCTGCTGGAGACGTTTCTAGAGAGTGCCCCCCAACTGGTGCTACAACTCTGTATAATGATCCAGAAGAACCGGGCCGAGACACTGCAGTGTAAGTGTGAACTGTACCTTAGTGGAGTTCGTTCAGTCAACTAAAGCTTAGCGCTTGCAATTGTAAACTTTCAGAATGCATGATAAATGCTAGCTAAACAGATCCCTCAACATCAGCTGGATTTCTGTAGAGTGCTATAGGCCAGGATTGAGTCCTGAAACCCAGAAAAGAGTTGGCATATTTGTACTTCCATCATCCTGTAATCAGGAACAACATACCGGAAGTTGTGAGCTGGTGAAAATGATGCATTCTAGCACCTTTTACAGTGCGTGCCATTGTAAATACTGCAAGTCTATCCCTCACTATAGGGATGTAAAGATTTCACTAGAGATGTTTAACGAATTGCGATACAACTGGAGGTAGGAGTTTATATGTATGTATATCTGAGGGGAATTTACAAAAAAAAGAGGGGAAAAGTTTAGATGGTATTTTCTTTTCGTCTTGCCTCAATATAATGCATATTAAAGTAGTATTTATAAGCGCAGCGCTGCTTTGTTTATAGCGGTAAATCTAATTTAGATTAAAAACTACTCATGCTGCATTTTTAAGCATTGTGGTTTAAAAGCAAGTGATTGTAAGCTGCTGAAACACAATCAGCAGCGAAAGAGAACTCATTTCGCTATGTGCTTAGCGAGGCGCACGCGTGAAGACGGTAGCGCGGGAGTATTATTGCCGCTTTATAGGCCTTGAACAGTTAAATACACACACCCATTTTTGCAAGTATCCTCGTAAACACAGTAATTTAGGTTTTAAGTGAAAGCAAACAGCAGAGAAAGATAACGTGTAACAGTATTTTGGATCCGGCAGCTCTTAAAGTGTCAGCAGCCTAAAATTCCTGCTGCCTGTCATTCATGTTACTCAAACAACAAAAGAGAGGAAATCTCTCACCGCTCTTGACTAAATCTTGTAACTTTAGTAAGAAGAAATATATATTTAATTTACATAGTGAAGAATATGCAGTGTTTTTATACATTTGATTATTTTATACATTGTATTTAACATTTCTTATTTATTTATTCTACTGTAGTAGTTTTTTCTGTCCTTGCTTGTAATTAGTTTCTTGTTCTTGTTCTCTTCAGTGAGCTTGAGTTGTTTTTTTTGTGATATTGATACTGGTGACAAGAATTATGAAATTTCTATGGTATCATAAAGACCTTATTTAAAGCAAAAATAACTATACCGTGATATATATTGTTACCGTGAAATAAAATGTATCATATCGTGATACAAGATTTTGGGTTCTTGTTCTCTTCAGTGAGCTTGAGTTGTTTTTTTTGTGATATTGATACTGGTGACAAGAATTATTAAATTTCTTTGGTATCATAAAGACCTTATTTAAAGCAAAAATAACTATACCGTGATATATATTGTTACCGTGAAATAAAATGTATCATATCGTGATACAAGATTTTGGTCATATCGCCCACCCCTTCACATTAAATTAAATATGTTGTCTAACCTGACATAAGTCTGTGCCTTCATTCTATTATATTTGTGTGCCACATTCAGCGCTTTCGTGAAAAGTGATGTAAAGTGTGATGAAACAAGAGGGGAGGGTCTAGATGAAATCCGAATACAAATGGTCACAGGAGACACATTTAAAATGCATGGTAAAACCAGGTGCAAACGGTCATGTGTCTTGGCTGACAGCTTGTGATCAGATCACTGAAAACATATCTTAATATCAGGTGGAAACAGGGCCTCTGATAAGTATACTGAAGACTGTCTGTCATCATGAATACCTCACAGGTGTCTCCTCCGTTGCCTCCCTACTCTCGCTGGCCTGGGTCCTAGCTTCATACCACAAGCTCCTGCGCGACTCCAGAGACGACAAAAAGAGCATGAGCTACAGAGGCGCGCTGATCCACATCTTCTGGAGGCTTTTCACCATATCCTCACGGGTGCTCTCCTTCGCCCTCTTCGCTTCCATCTTCCACATCTACTTCGGCATCTTCGTGGTCGTGCACTGGTGTGCCATGGCGTTCTGGATCGTGCACGGCGGCACGGATTATTGCATGTCCAAATGGGAAGAGGTGCTCTTCAACATGGTGGTGGGCATCGTCTACATCTTCTGCTGGTTCAACGTGAAGGAGGGCCGAACCCGGTTCCGCATGGTGATCTACTACTTCGTGGTGCTTGCCGAGAATACGGTGCTTACTTGCCTGTGGTACGCCTACCGAGACCCGGTCACCACCGACTCCTATGCAGTGCCGGTGCTCTGCGGGGTTTACCTGACCTTCGCCTCAGGGGTGGTTTTCATGGGCATCTACTATGGGTTCCTTCATCCGATGGGACCTAAAATAAGGGTGCTAGCTAGCTCCTGTTGTGCCGAGCTTCTTTGGGGACTTCCATTCCCCCCGGAGGCCGAGCCCATGGTGCCCACCTCTGGACCGCGAGCGTCCCAACCCACTCCCAGCCGGGCTTCCATGGGGGCCTTTGGCCAGCAGGACGACGCCTCGGCAGACACCTGCCTGCCCGTGTTTCAGGTGCGCTCGCCCGAGCCCACCACTCCCTTGGGCCGCTACCGGCCAGAGGGACCTCTGATAAAGATCGACATGCCCAGGAAACGCTACCCGGCCTGGGATGCGCACTTCGTGGACAGGCGCTTGCGAAGGACGATAAACATCCTGCAGTTTATCACGCCCGCCACCGCCGGGATCAGGTACAGGGATGGACCGCTGCTGTACGAGCTCCTGCAGTACGAGTCGTCCCTGTGACGTCTGCCACGTTTCGCGAAATGCATGCCATTTTGGTTTCCGTATAAATGCGTACTTGTGTGTAAAAGAGTGTAAGCATCAAGCATTGCACATTTTTCTTTGACGTGAAAAGCCTCTAGAAGATGTGTATATATTTTGTATGTATATACTGTCTCTTTTTTACAATATCCGTTTAGAAATGTGTCCCCGTGAAGGGATATGTATGCGCCATGGTGTTTACGGCCAGCAGAAACCATTACACTGGAAAAATGGAGATTGGTTGACCACATCAACACCGCCTTGTTTTTTTTGTTGTTTTTTTTACAGTTTTTATTCATCTATACTAGCTTAACTGATATTTCAGAGCCTTTTTTCACATTTGCATTGATCGATATGCTCAAGTGGTGGTTTATATACAAAAAAGCACCTGCTATAACCTAGATTTTCCACTTGTGATTTGCATTGATGATGCAATCAAAAGTCACTTATTTTCAGTAAGAGTTGTCGATTTTTGAGTAGGAAGTTCTACTAGCAAACTACAGTAGAGGGATTTGGCCTCTAGTGAATTAATCTCTGTACGCGCCCCTTTACACTGACCTCTGCAGGTGAGAATCCACCTGTCAGACAAAATCCAAGTGGCATTCATTGTCTGTTTGCCTTAAAATCTGTATTTAGTTTGTTAAAGTGTCTTGATTATTGTATTCTTTGGTTATTAAAGAAATACCTCATTGACTCTGTATAACACAGTTCAAATCCATTAAATCCTTTGCACAATAAGTATGGTTAATATTGCACTGAGAATCAGGTTAGATCTGTTTAGTGGGAATTTATATTAAGAATTAAATAATAAAAGCACACAGCTCTTGGGCGGTTTTGAAGGAACAGTTTTGTACAGAGAATAGCACATTGAATTGGTGATTTTTAAATAATTTTTCCTCAATTATTGGGATGTTTTTGTTTCCCGGCTTTGTTCACACCGCAAGCCATGAATCCCTCATTCTAATTTTCAGCTGCTTAAATGATATGTATTATTTATTGTTCTATTTTTGTTATAATTATAACTTAATATTATTGTTTATAATTTATTTTATTTTTATTGCATTTGTTATTTGTTATTATTATTGTTATTTGTTATTATTGCAAGTTTAGCATCATTCCACTGACCAAGTGTGAAAGTGTGCAATTATGACGCAAGTCGAGTTTGATTGGTTGATTGGAAAACACATCAGATTCAGCTGCGGTGTGAACATAGCGCGTGTTTTATCTCATCAGAAATAAGCACAGAAAACCCTTGACAAGGTGGCGTTGTATGACTGGTCCTCTCCATTTTTTCAACCTCTTTTCGAACATTTAGACTGCATAGTGTGTATACGGTTACTACTCTCATCTGTTTGTCTGGTCTCGTCATCCAAAATTCCAAGTAATAAACTTGTGAGGTGCAGAAATGTGGCTGCGGTTCTCTGAGGAACCCTGGCCCACATATTTTTCCTATGTAATGACTTAATTGTCAGTTTTTTAACGTTTATTTTATTCTAAGGTGCAACAAGATGCTAAGCTAATGGCATTTGAAGTTATCTTTGCCTGAATATACCTGAGTGTATTTAAGTAACCTTGGCAGAGTCTCACCAGGAGGATTTTGCGATCGTTTGAGAAGAGGATGATAATTGCCTCAACACACAGGGCTCGCTGCCGCCCGCAGCGCGAAACAAACAAAGCCAAATCACATCCTCTACTGTAACAGTCTCTCTCTGCTATTGGTGCATCCAGCCGCCTGTCAAGGTCGTCCTCCTTGCTGATTGGTGCTTATAGTGAAGCATTTGTTTCTTGCTACCTAAGCATGCAGTTTGTTTTTTGGTGCTACTCTGATTATTTTGCCATGTGAAAACTGTGGGATTATTAAAAGTGCACCAAGTATTTATTTGTTTATTTTTATACTGTAAAGAATTTTACCTGTAGTGAAATAAATAACTGCACTTCTGAAAAGTGTTTAAAAGGATGTGCATAAAAAAAACAGTTCTTCCTTTGCAAAATGTATGAGACGTCAAAAAATGTTGTTTTGGAAATTTCACAAAAAATGGCAGTAACACATTGAATTAAACATCGATTAAAAAATATTATTATCTTGTAAAATGCACTCCAATAATTTACAGCTTCAAAAAACTTTAAATATAAATAGCTCTCCCAAACACTGGGTAAAATAGTCAATTTTTAGTCATAGTTAAGCTATTTTAAACTATATTTTTGAATAAAAATAAATCAACATTTGCCATCTTCTTAATGAATTGCAGTACGTTATTGGTTGGGATACACATAGTTCTGCCTTTGAATTTGGCCAAAAAGAAGTTCTTAGAAAGCAGCATGATTTCTTTTTTAAACGTAGCCTTGTATCTCATGCGATATTTTGTTATTTCAGTGCAATATTTAAATGACAACAAAACATTGAATCAGTACCAGTTTTTTGGCTGCATTGGTCAGTGAAACATGAACAAAAATGTACTTGGTGCACCTTTAACTATAGGAATTGTCTCCAGCATCATGGCCTTTGCTTTTCACACGAATTCATTGCCATTTCGAGTTTCCAAATCAGAGCGAACCCGAAGCAGCGCTGGCTTGGTGCACCACATAGAGGAGATCACATATGTCCTTGACTCCATTGTGCCTGCTTTGATCCCAACAACCAGATGCCATACAGGTGCATCCAGCAGGTGAAAAGGGTTCTTGCCAGGTTGGAAAAAGAGCTTGAGATCAATCTCCAATTGGCATGTGTTTCCCCTTAAATTGCTTATTAGCACTGGGTCTCTCGACTCGGCTTCCTCCCTGGTTGCTGCTAGCCCTTCCCTCACATTAACATGTGGCTCAGGTGTATTCTGGTGCAGATATTCATGTTTTAGATTTCCCTGCAAATATAAATCTATAGTAATAGGTCATCCTGAGGACAGTCCTCCTCCAGCGTTCATTTCAAGGCTGTGTGTGTGATTTCTGTGCATGTTTCGCTTTGATTTCGCTCACTGGTGATTCTGGATCACTGTTGTTTGCTGGAGAAACCTGCATCTTTTCATGCTGTCATTTTGAGTTTTGCCAAAGTGTGTTTTTTTATGTTTTTGATGGCTGCCAGATGTGCCGTACTACATCCATCCGTGCATCTTCACTCGTGCACATCTGTGCTGTAAATATTAGACACCTATTGGCCTCTTCCGGGCACTAATACACTGTGATTAGTTCTCCTTCTAACCAAGCAGTGAGCATTCAGATGCATTCAGCTTGTCGAGTCCAAGGTCTAGAAACAAGCTTCCGCTGCTGAAGACTGTATTATGAAATATAACAGCGCTGAAAACACCTCAGACATTACTGTTGTCCTGTTAGACAGTACTTGATATGATGTAGTCAAAATTAATTTTTTGTTTACTCAGGCATTTTATTTTCCTCTGACAAACTTGAATATGTCAAACTGAAATACTCATCATGCAAGGGCTTCCTTGATATGGACAGTATTAGGCAATATTGCAGCATTCAGTTAATAATATAGGTGTATATTATAACGATGCATTTATTATTATACGTTGTATTATGAAAACTATAATATATAATAATGAAGCATTCAGCTAATACCACTATATGTGACCCTGGACCACAAAACCAGTCTTAAGTTGTACGGGTATGTTTGTAGCAATAGCCAAAAATACATTGTATGGGTCAAAATTATCGATTTTTCTTTTATACCAAAAATCATTAGAATATTAAGTAAAGACCATGTTCCATGAAGATATTTTGTAAATTTCCTACCATAAATATATCAAAACTTCAATTTTGATTAGTAATATGCATTGCTAAAAACTTCATTTGGACAACTTTAAAGGCGATTTTCTCAATATTTAGATTTGTTTTGCACCCTCAGATTCCAGATTTTCAAATAGTTGTATCTCGGCCAAATATTGTCCTATCCTAATAAACCATACATCAATGGAAAGCTTATTTATTCAGCTTTCGCACAAAACCAGTCTTAAGTCGCTGGGGTATATTTGTAGCAATAGCCAAAAATACATTGCATGGGTCAAAATGATCGATTTTCCTTTTATGCCAACAATCTTTAGGATTTTAAGTAAAGATCAAGTTTCATGAAGATATTTTGTAAATTTCCTACCGTAAATATATCAAAACTTAATTTTTGATTAGTAATATGTATTGCTAAGAACTTCATTTGGACAACTTTAAAGGCGATTTTCTCAATATTTAGATTTGTTTTGCACCCTCAGATTCCAGATTTTCAAATAGTTGTATCTCGGCCAAATATTGTCCTATCCTAATAAACCATACATCAATGGAAAGCTTATTTATTCAGCTTTCCGATGATGTATAAATCTCAATTTCGAAAAATCGACACTTAAGACTGGTTTTGTGGTCCAGGGTCACATATTAAACTAGAGCCTTATTTATTGGTTCCATAAAGAACCTTTAACACCCATGGAACCTTTCCAGGTTCTTTATAGTGGAAAAGCACTCTTAAAAATAAAGTTTCTTTATTTGAATCTATGGTTCCATGGAGAACCTTTAACATCACTAGAACCTTTCTATTGTATAAAAAGGTTCTTTACGGTGGAAAAGGGTTTTTTAGATCATTACGTTTAAAAATAAAGGTTCTTTATTGGCATTGATGGCTCCATGGAGAACCTTTAACGTCTGTGGAACCTTTCCATTCCGCAAAAGGTTCTATATAGTGGAAAAAGGTTGTTATGATTATTCTGATGTTCTTCACACTAAGATAAATAATGGTTCCTTTAAGAACTGTTCACTGAAAGGTTCTTTGAGAAATCGAAAATGGTTGTTCATTGGCATCGCTGTAAAAAACACCTTTTGGAACCTTTTTTACGAGTGAAGGTATTTTAGAATAGTAAAAAAATTGTTCTTTTGTGAACTGTTCACTGGAAGATTTTTTTGAGGAACCCAAAATGGTTTTTCTGTGCGAGGAAAAAAAAGCCTTTTGGAAGCTTTATTTTTAAGACTGTACTTGATTTTCACAGACATCTTAAAGATGCCATTCGTTTTGATGTCATCATTAGGATGTGATGTCGATAGGAATTTTCATTTGCCATTATTCCATTTTTCACC